AGTCTTAAGGTTATATTAAATTGCACTCTGCATTAATTAATTGTTACATATTCGCTGTATTTGGCATATTCTTTCATTTAATCATTTTCCTTCGGCTAAGTCCCTCAATTATCAGGGGTCGCCACAGTGGAGTGAACCGCCAACTATTCCAGTATATGTTTTACGCAGTGGATGCCCTTCCAGCTGCAACCAAGTTCTGGGAAACACATCATATTTTCACAAGACAAATTAACTTTTTTTTTAAAGGTAAAAATGATTATGCATGCTCAAAAGATAACTAGTGCTTTTCATTTATACAGAAAATTTCCGTTGGTGGTTATTATTTCTTAAAGTTAAAGATGAACTGCGTTTTATACTTGTATAAACTATTTATTTTTGTACTTAATGACACATAGTCACACATTAACACATGATCGCGTAATGATACATTTATAGAGACAATTATGATTCTACTCTTGTTTGAAATAAAATTTTAAATAGTCACTGTACAAGCATAAAAATGTAAATATTGAAGAAAGGGATATTTAAAGACACAGAATATGCACCAAAATGCATATATTTATTATAATGCTCCACTTTAGAATGAATTAAATGTTTATAGATATTGACTTGCTCTGCAGTAAATGTATCTGATGGATTTTAGTATGAAACACTGATCTGTAATTTACATGAGACACGATACAGTTTTTGGTAAGTTTTACAGTAACTTTCAGCATACCTTAATGTTAATTAATAAGGCAGAGCTGCATTTTTTTCATAATAAAATCCAAATTTGACAGCTGAGGCTTTGTTTCACATCCAAAGTAAAAAGGGGCAAAGCTAACTGGGATAGGTAAATCAATTCTTCAGATTTAAATTTTAGTATTCCAGTCAGCTATATTGGTAAACACTGAGTGTTTACACAATATATATACTGAGAAAAAGGGGGGGAAATTGTTGTAGTTGGTCAAATGGTGTAGACTTTGAAGTAGCTAAAATGCAAAATAGTTTGAAGAAAGAATAAAATTGACAAAATAAATTTGTTCATTATTATTTTGTACATTTAAATACATTTTTACTAGGCCATATCGTTATCGGCCGATAAATGGTACTTTTAATGTTATCGTTATCGGTCTGATGTCAAAATTAGGCCGATATCTATAAGCCGATAGATAACATAAATCTCAAAACACTTTTTCGGACATTACATATTTCTGCATATGTACCTTACTGTCACACGTTTTATTCAAAGTTTTTTTATTCATTAGTTTTTAGTTGAGTTTCTAGATCTTTCATTTTATTTAAAATATGTTTGTGTAACTATGGTTATTAAATACTAGTTCGCTATTTAACCTATTATTTTTATGCAACGGTCAAGTGGCATGTTAATTTGCTATGCAAAGAAAAGGAAATAATTTATTTTGGCATGATTCGTGTGAAATCGTAAATATATCTATATAATCACCTTGCAATTGTGAAATTATTGTTTTTTTCACATAGAGGAAGAGGCTATTCAGTTTATAAAATTAGTTCAAACTTTTATGAAGTTTTTAAAATAAATTCAGTTGTTCACTGTATAAAAAATATAACATTTTGAAATATTTATATTTACCAGCTATAGTATATCAGTTATCAGCCTCCAAATCTTAAAAGTTATCGGTTATCGATATCGGCCAAAAAAATCCATATGGGTGCATCCCTATACCTAGCAAATTTGAGAGTCATCATATAAAATGTGTCACTATACTTTGAAGCAATTATTTATTCTTTTTTAAATTAAAATAATTTTAAGGTAGATTCAAGAAAAAATGTCATGGTTCATTCTGCTGTGGCGACCCCAGATTAATAAAGGGACTAAGCTAAAAAAAAATAAATGAATGAATTTTCAAAATTGTACCAAATTTGACAGGAATTAAATTTAATCTGGCACTACACTTTTATTTTTTTAATGGTGGTTTTTCAGAAATATAGCAGACTTTCCAGGCATTCTAAGCAGTGGTGAATGAAGAGAGGTTTTTTTAGACAGCAGGTTTTGTGGGCGTGGATAAAGCCTTGTGATTGGATTAATGGCAAAAGAGGGAAATGAAAGGCAGATGAGAGGTCACATGAGAAGTCAGTTCAGTTCGACACACTCTTGAACAGTAACTACAGAGCTGCACTTTACACACTCGTTACGCCTGCATGTTGAAAGACAACTGAGAAAGGACAGACAGGAATTACCTGCACATTTCTGTGGTTGAACAGCAAGACACTTCTTTGAGGAAGCAAGGAATTCAGAGAGATTTTTTTTTTGGGTGAGTTATGTCTAGGAAAATTCTCTATTGGGTTTTCTTAATGTTTGTTTTGTTTGCGTTTTCAAAGTTTAAGTCCTTACACACACAAAAAAACTAACAACTTAATTGTTTTATTTTCAATCAAGTTTAAAAATTGGTGTTAAGACAACATAAACGAATCATGGGGAACACTCATTTTTTACAGCAAATTTCTGAAATGGCCAGAAAAAAGTTAATGTATTGTTTAACAAACTTGTTCAGAAGCCATCCATGTTGGCTGTAGGAAACATTTTTGTATTTTATTTGAACAATTTTCTTTTTAAAATATGTATGTAGTGTGTGTGTGTGTGTGTGTGTGTGTGTGTGTGTGTGTGTGTGTGTGTGTGTGTGTGTGTGTGTGTGTGTGTGTGTGTGTGTGTGTGTGTGTGTGTGTGTGTGTGTGTGTGTGTGTGTGTGTGTGTGTGTGTGTGTGTAGGCTATAAGAACAGTCACATGATTACTTCTTAACTGTGTACATTCATGTCTGAAAACTGGATACAAGTGGAGACTTATTTTCTGAATGTACTTTGACTGCTTTCTCCCTAATGTGGCTGAGCTAAACATGTGGGAAAATGTCATTCTAGACTAGAAAAAAAGCAGCCAAGTGCTGACTTAAGCAAACAAGAACACGCTGACTAATTGTAAGTGCAGAAATCACATTCATTTAGTCTGCTGTGTGTCATCTGCGACGTGCATTTCATCCCTGCAGCTGTCCCAAACCTTTAGGAAAGCATGTTTGCAGTTTAAATGGGGAAAGTAATGGTTTTATTGAGGCAGTATTAGATTATCTGGACAATATTGTCCAAGTGAGTTGCCTAGGGCTGTCAGGGCATTCGATTAACGAAGGTCTCTTTATCTGTTATTTGTTTTCTCCAAACTTGATTGTTTTTTTTGTTGTTGTTTTTTTTACGAATGGAAAATATCCAAAGGGTTTACTTTATACTTCAGTTGTACTTGTAATGTACATGTTATTTTCTTGGATACAAATTGTGAATTCATATTTATTTTTAGTTGTGCTGCCAAAATAATAAAAGGTAATATTTGCAAAATATATTTGTGCATATACTGTGTATGTTTGTGTTTATAAATATGTACATGATTGTATTGGTTGCACAATATTGGAAAAAGCTGGCATTGTGATATTTTGTTGTGCTGTGATATGAATATAATTTTACCCTATGATTTGAGTAGCTTATTTATTGATTTAGATTGACTGGGATGTTCAAGTCTTTTTTCTGCAGTGCAACTGCATAAAATATAATAAATTACAAGCAAATATAAATATGAAAGAGCCTAAATAAATCAATAAACAGTGGTTTATGGCTCTCTGGGGAGTCTAACACACCGTAAAACCAAGCAGTCAACTTTATCAAATGAAACGAGTGTAGTTAACTCAATTTACTGAAAGTTTATTCTACTCATTTGAAAAGAGTTTTGACCTCAGTGTTGAAGGAAATTAGTTCATTAAATACCTAATTTCTTTAACTTAAATGGAGTAAGTTCACAGTACTCGCATAATTTAGTTTAACTGAAATAGTTTGTAGCAATTTGTTTCCTCAAACGGTTTGAGTTGCCTTAACTTATTGGGTTTTACAGTACTCAGTTGGTTTGAGTTCTCTTCATTTATTGGGTTTTATTGTGCTCAAATTGCTTTTGTTTACTCAAATGGGTTAAGTTCACAGTACTCATTAAGATTAGTTTTTCAACTTAAATGGTTTGTTGCAATCGTTTTCCTCAAATGGTTTGAGTTACCTGAACCTTTTTGGATTTTACAGTGCAGTATTCAAATAGTCTACAGAAATTGTAGTCGTTAAAGGTAAAGTAACAATATTGCAGATATTAAGACATTGTGAATTTTAAAACTAATTTTAAAACTAAATCTTTTGTACATTTTTGTATTTTATGTGCAGTATATGTGTGTATTTATATACATTTTTTAAATTAATCATATGGCAGCACTTTTTAAATCAAATTTACACGTTAATACAAGACATTCATTATTTGTTTACTATTAAAGTTGTTTTGTATTACACAAATATGCTACATTATATTTATTGGGTACATTTACATATGACCCCTGTTAGAGGGCTATATGTACAAATTTTTATATCTTCACTTTTTTTTTTTTTTTTTTTTATAGATTTGTTTGTAGACTACTTGTAATGAAGCTTGAGATCTTTTCAAATCATCCTGATTTTCTAGGATGTCTGAAAGCCTGTGTCTGTCTGTGTGTGTGTTTATTTGTAAAGCACTGAGGAAATTTTTGGCTGAAGAATCAAAAGGATGTGATGTTTACATTTGCTCTCTTCCGCTCTAATACACATGAAACGAACACTCACAAAGCATTCAAAATAATGCAAAAAAGAGTCACAGTGTGTGTTTGGGATAAAAAATCTGATTTTGTGATATTTTAGTTTTCTGCAATAAATATTATGATACGGATACAGCTTCACAAGATTTAAATAGCACTATTCGACGGTTTTCTGGGGAGTCTAACAGTTTTCAGGTAGAGAAATTTAATGATCACAATGCAAAAAAATGCTTTTCTATGCTTTTTTTCTAACGCTGCTATAGTAATCTGTGTGCTGAATATACTTAGAAGAAATGTATATTTAATATACTGGTGAACGGTTCTTTATCATATTGGAGATTTGTTAAATTCGTATCGAGAATGTTTAAGAATTGTTTTGTTCTCTGATCTCTCCACAGCATTTCTGTACAGTAAGATGGATTCGTCACATTCACATCACCATGTCGAGGAGACAACCATGCCGTCTCCTGCCTCAGACGATCATGGGGGTCATTTAACGACCTCTGGCAATGGCCACGGAGATCACATGATGATGATGGTGAGACAACCTGCATTTCATTTATCCTGTGTGCCAGGATTTAGAACAGGGGTTACCGCACTTGGTCCTGGAAGGTCTTGCAGATTTTAACTCCAAACCTTAATCAAACCTACCTGATCTTACTATATCTCAATCAGCAGCACCCTAGCTCTCAGAATCATTTATCAGTAGGTTGTGTGCATGAATTTGGGCACTGACAAGGACATTGATGAACTTTGTTTACAACTTTGAGACACACTGAGTATTACATGAGAACATCCTGCCGTACAGTTAAAGTCAAAATTATTTTCATTTTTCAATATTTCCCAAATGATGTTTAAAAGAGCAAGGCATTTTCCACTGTATTTCCTGTAATATTTTTTCTTCTTTAGAAATCTTTTATTTTGGCTAGAATAAAAGCAGTTTTAATTTTTTTAATGATTTCAAGATCAATATTTTTGATTGTCTATAACAGTGGTCCTCAACCTTATAATCACCACAGACCGGTCAATGCATGACAATTTTGCCGTGGACTGGGGGTACAGGGATGCGGGGGTTGCTAGGCGACAGCAAAACATCGCTCTCACTCTGATACAAGTTTTATTTATGGAAAAAATTACAAAGCATTGCAGTGTTTGTGTGTTCTGTGTTTGTCTGAGATAATTAGTCTTACCAACATGTTTATGTTCCATAAAAGCTAAAGCTGATCAATTCTTGTCATACGCTCCTGGGATTCATTAGAGTGCGTCTGGAAAACGCGAGCACATCATGCTGCTACTGCGCGCAAGCTGCCCACCTCTATTGGAATCTACGAACTTGTGCGAAAAGGCGTTATTTCAATGACAAATGGAGAAATTTCGTGAGTGCAGTATTACAAGTCGAGATCGTATTTATGCAATAAGAGCATATGCGAATCTCTTTGCTTGCGCGCCGATTTCCTCTGCTCGTGCACAAAACTTCTTGCACGCTCTCAAATATACGCGTCTCAAGCGCAGATCTTCTTGTGCGCTCTCAAATAAACACTGCTGAAATGCGATTTAGCGCTTTTATGTAGTGAGTATGTCTCCAACATTTACTAGATTTGCTAGGAATATTTATGAATTTCTCCAATAGACCTACAGAGCAGCATTAATGCCTCCTGAAGTAAAGTGAAACGGCTTTAAACTCCAGCAAGATAATGTCATTGTATGCATAACCATTTAATTATTTATCTATAATTAAAGTATAATTATGGAAACTGTGTTTATCTTAACTGAAAGCTATGTCGTGTTTGCTGGCATCACGCACCTGTCAGTCAGTCAGTCAGTCTGTGAGCACGTCACCTTAAAGGGTTAAACAAATAACACACAACACTACTACGGTTACAGAAAAGCTTGTGCTGTTATAATTCACGTACCTTATAATGCGTTTTGGTGTGATTTATAATCAGCTATTAAAAACAACAGCTGACTGAATGTTTTGTATGAGAAGCTATGTAATGTAGCTGTGTTGGGATGAATTTTGGTGTGGCGCCCCGCCATGGCAGAACGAATGTAGCGGAAACCATGCTATATGTTAACGGGCACTAAAAGGTCACCATCCTTCGTGTGCAACAGTTGATCTTCTTACACAGTCATGCTGATTTTGAACCTGATTTGTTGACAAATGGGTTGCGGATCCATTCCATGGCAGTTCGTGGGTCCTTCACTGGGCCTTTTCCCCTTAGCAAAGAAACTTTCAATAGTGATGGGTCGTTCTTGAATGATTCTTTCATTTTTAACAAATCTTCAATGTGACTTGGGAACGACGAGCCTAGGGGCGGACTGGGACTAAAAATCAGCCTTGGCACTGTAGCCACATCAGCATTACCACACCGACACAGCCCATGCACTATTTATATTGGTGTACAGATGGTGAAATAATATAAGGAGTACCATATGTCATAGATATTTAAACATTTAATGCATGTGACTGGAACAAAACAACCTATTTATAACAAATTTATACATGCAATCATTTCATTCATTCATTTTCTTTTCGGCTTAGTCCCTTTATTAATCTGGGAGTGCAACAGCAGAATGAACCGCCAACTTATCCAGCATATGTTTTACGCAGCAGATGCCCTCCAAGCTGCAACCCATCACTGGGAAACCCCTATGCACACACATTCACATACATGCACTACCGACAATTAAGCCTATCCAATTCACCTCTACCACATGTGAAACCCACGTGAACATGTATACTCCACACAGAAACACCAGCTGTCCCAGCCGAGGCTCGAAGTAGCGACCTTCTTGCTGTGAAGTGACAGCGCTACCCACTATGCCACTGTGCTGCCCCAATTTAAGACTATTTTATTTAATTTTATGCATTTGGCAGCGTCTGATTTTAGAGCCATTTTTTTGCTTTCCTTTTTTATGGTCCAACTCCAGAAATGCTAGATGGCCAGTCCGTCCCTGGACGAGTCCTCTCAGGTATTGATTTGTCCATCCGCGTATGTGCACAGTTGTGCAGGTGGTTTCATTCATTTTTCAAGTCTTTTGATTTATTCATCATGTGAAAGACTGAAGCCAATCATATGCGTTTAGAGCTGGAAAAAGGTTTGATCCTTTTAACTCTCGAGTCCTCGGTTTGACTCGTTTGTTCATCAAGTAAAAGGCAGAAGCCAATCATATGGATTTAGAGCCGTAAAAAGATGAGATCCGTTTAATTTCTCAAGTCATCCTTCTTTACATGCTGCCCATCCTGTCATGTGATGAACAAATGACTCAAGGTGACCCAAGGTAAACTAATTCATATGTCCTTCCGGCTCAGACTGTGCATTGGTTAGGATTATATGTGACTGTCAGTGTCACGAGAATGAACCACACAAATTTTAATACATGAAGAGGTGAGCAGAGCAAAGAGACAAAAATACCATCATAGACAAAAGGCCAGGTAAACAATGAACGATTGTTTTCTCTTACTTATAGCATTCTATAACATTCTATGACTTGTTTTTAATATGTTCAACCTTTGGGCTAGTTGTAGATGTGTTTGGAAGCAACTCATAGCATATTAATGATATTTTGGCAAATTGAACTAAATGACTCAAAAAGATTCGTTCATCTTATTTAACTCGAGTCAGTTAAATAACCTTCCATCACTACTTTTCAAAAATGTCTGTTTCTTACTCTTTTTGCTGTTTGTGGGTTAAATTTGGGTGCTCAAGTGACCAGGATGTAAGCGAGAGAATACGGTCATTTTTCAAAATAAAAGACTAAATAATTAAGAATTTCTTGTGCGACCCCGTACCAATCGATCCATGTACCGTTCCGCGGCCCGGTGGTTGAGGACCACTGATCTACAGAACAAACCACTGTTAACAATAGCCCCTTTCACACATACAGACCTTTCCGGAAAATTGCCGGCAATTTTCCGGAAAGGTTGTATGTGTGAACAGGTCCTTTTTGAAAATACCGGTAAATTCGTTCTGGCTATTTTCCGAAAAGAGAAGTTGTAACATTACCGGCAATTTGCCGGAATGCTGCGCTGTGTGAATGCAGAAGGAAGATTCCCGTAATAAGCGCGTGCACGTCTAGAACGTACTGACGTGAGACGTCTGCTTTAGCCAATCACAACAGTCAGACGCATTTACGTCCGCGCGGTTTGTGAGGATAAAAGCCTTGGAATTTTTTTCCAGACACATTTAGCTGCTAGAAGTTAGTCAGATCATGTTTGTATGTTCTTCTTAATGCCAACTGTGTAAATAATCATCGATGAGATGCTTATGATAAGCCGTTGTTTGTTTACGTTCGTGTGCCTGTGAAACAGCCTGTGAGCGCCAGCACACGCACATATTATGAACATCTCGACATGCGAAAGTGATCCTGAGAAAGTTGTTCACAATATTGATCATCCACAGAGTTTGTAATTTAGTCAAATGTTTACAAATACAAGCGCAGCCGTTTAAAGCTCATTTGTGGTGAATGATGTCAGAATTTACCGGTATTTTGGAATGGATGTGTGAATGCTCTTTTCCGGAAAATTTCCGTAACGTCCTCGCCTGTGTGAACAGCGTTTTTTTGAATATACCGGTAAAGTCGTTCCGGAAATTTTCCGGATATTTACCGGTATCACTGTGTGAAAGGGGCTTAGACTTGCCTAATTACCCTAACTCACGTAATTAACTTAAAATATTAGGTACTGTCATCATGTCAAAGGTAAAAGAAATGAGATATTAGCTATTATTAAAATTAACTATCATGTTTAGAAATGTGTTGAAAAAAATCTTTCCATTAAACAGAAATTGGGGAAAAATATACAGGGGAGCTAATAATTTAGGAGGGCTGATTATTGTAACGTGAACTGTATATCATCAAAACTAAAGTTTATAAACAGCAGAACTAATAATTTTAGTACTTTAACTATGTTTTTATCATGAAATAAAACATTGTTCACAAAGTAATGATTCGAGGTTCAGCATAAAATAAATAATAAAAAATATTGCTAAATTAAATTAGGTGTAAATATTGTTCTTTCAAGATGGCAACATTCTCACCATGCTGTTATTCATGTTTGATCTTGGGAAGTTGTTGTTTGATGTGCGGATTGATGTGATTTCAAACTATAATAGATTTTCATTATATAAAGAAACTTTGGCAACTGATTGGTTGATTTAATTTATACATTGCAGCAAATGACCTTCTACTTCGGCTACAAAAATGTGGAGCTGCTTTTTGCTGGGCTGGTCATCAACACACCAGGAGGTGAGACGATCTGTGTAACTCAGGTTTTCAAACTTGGAGAAGTTATGGCAGGACTGCTGGCTGTGTAATCTGCTCTTTTGAAAAATATGTATTTGTCATCCTAAATAACAACAATTTTCTTTTCTTTTTTTTATATATATTTTTGTTATTCTGGGTTTCACAGTTTTATAAAAGTATGTTTTGTTTATGAAATGAGTGCTTAAAGCATTTTAAAGGGTAATGACACCCTCTGTTTTAGCAGAGTGTGTGTGTTTAGCTGTGGAGTGGAGAAGGCAGACTGTCAACAACACACTGTCTTCAGATTCCAACATTTACTTTCAGAGCCAAAAACATCAAAGATTCCCACAAATGCAAGCTGGACTTCACCATGACATGCAAAAAAAAATCAACACATTCAAACTTCAAACTTACTGTCATGACACGCGTATTTTGTTTTATATAAGGCTAACAAAATATGTATAGTGTACTCGTGTAAATATACACAACTTTTTTTTCATTCATTCATTTTCTTTTCGGCTTAGTCCATTTATTATTTTAGGGTCGCCACAGCGAAATGAACCGTCAACTTATCCAGCATATGTTTTTGCAGTGGATGCCCTTCCTGCTGCAACCCATCACTGGGAAACACCCATACATAATCATTCACACACACACACTACGAACAACTTGGCTTACCCAATTCACCTATACCACGTCTTTTGACTTGTTGGGGTAACCGGAGCACCCGGAGGAAATCCACGTAAACGCATGAAAAACATGCAAACTCCACACAGAAATGCCAACTGACCCAGCTCGAACCAGTGATCTTCTTGATGTGAGGGAATCATTCTACCCACTGCACCACCATGTCGCCCTCTACTTTTTTTTAAAGAAAATTATTCTGTTCATCAAGGCAGCATTTATTAAATGTAACAGAAAATTGTTAAATATTTTTTTAAATTGTAAATAACTGCTTTCTTATTGTATGTAGTTTCAAATAAAATGATTACTCCAGTCATTATTGCTTATAACTATTACCATTAATAATAATAATAATAATAATGATAATAATAATAATGGGCGACACAGTGGCACAGTAGGTAGTGTTGTCGCCTCAGAACAAGAAGATCGCTGGTTCGAGGTTTGGCTGGGTCAGTTGCATTTCAGTGTGGAGTTTGGATGTTTTCCCTGCCTTTGCATGGATTTTCTGTGGATGCTTTCCCCCACAAGTCCAAAAACATGTGGTACAGGTGAATTGGGTAGGCTAAAATTGTCCGTAGTGTATTAGTGTAAGAGAGTGTGTATGGGTGTTTCCCAGTGATGGATTCCAGCTGGAAGGGCATCTGCTGCATAAAACATACGCTGGACAAGTTGGCGGTTCCTTCCGCTGTGGCGACCCCAGATTAATAAAGGGACTAAGCCAAAAAGAAAATAAATAAATGAATAATAATTCATGTTAGAGTGATTTCTGAAAGATCTTGCTGAAAATTGATACAGCTGCATCATTTCATTAAATCTTTGTCTGATAAGGGTAAACTGAGATTTGAACTTGTAGCCATAAAGCAAATTGTAGTAGTTCTACATAGAGCAAACCACTGTAGTAGTTCTACAGTTTAACAAAGGGACTTTTATTGACATTTTAGTAGTTTGAAATAATGTAATGTATAAAAAATAATACATAGATAAATAAGTTTGTAAAATAACTGAAAATGTACTGGCAGCTTAATTTAAGGTTTTTGTAGCGTAATATACCACAACAACCCAAATAATAGGTCACTTTAAACTATTACAAATGTTTATAAAAGTCACTTTTTCTAGCTTCTCAAGGATAAAAGTTGTTGGAAGAAAGATCTGTACATCATAACACGATTCAAAAGCACAAATAAACAGGGAGAAAAATAATAAAAACATATCGCAAAGTACAGAAAAACTGTTAATTTACAGATATTATGAATATTTCCTACAGTGTAGGAATGAAATGATACAGACATATTGGCAGATTAATTAATTATCAATGCTGATTTACCAATGAGAGTCTCAGTCAACAGCCAGTAACCTCCTGACCTTGCGTTACTCACTTTCCGCAATGAGACATGAAATAAGATATCAACACATCAACAACACGTCACTGTTTGTTGTTGTTTGTACCACACAAAACAGTGGCATTCTTGTGAATAATGGCTCTAGATCTCTTCTTTCAGTGAAAAGCATTAGCACTGGTTGTACAGGTCTTACTAGATTTGTACCCGTTTTATCAAACTCATTCATTGGAATTATAAAAAATGTCCAGATTACACTTGGATATTGGTACAAAGATGAAATGAGGGTTTCTCTTATCAAGACAATATAAGTGATAGCTAATGCAATTTAATGATAATTAAAGTCAAACATTTTTATTGTGGTTTACAGAAGACACCTTCTAAATTTTCATTCAGCAAAACAATATATTCCCAAACCCTTTCAGGCATATTTAGAACAAGAAGACTTTGATGACATATTAAAATAATAATTAATGATCAAACCAATTATTAAATTAAATATAAATGAAGTTAATTAAAAAATGAAAGCCTAATTAATTGCCATTTTAAATCTTCCTTTGTGGTGGGCAAATCCCTTATTTTCACATCCCAATGTTGCCAGGTATGATCCACACCAACACAGGGAGAACTTCACAAACTCCAAACTCCACACCGAAATGCCAACTGAGCCAGCCTGGGACTCGAACCAGTGACCTTCTTGCTGTGAGGCAACAGTGCTAACCACTGAGCCACCATGCCCCATTTTTGTTTTATGTAATTTGATAAATGAGTCTTACCATTTTGTATGTCTTCATATAGTTTAGAGAGATTGCATTTTGTTTTATATGTTTGAATAAGTACAGGTCAGAATAGGCATATCGTTTCTTTTTTTACATGAATAGATCTGTTACACTAAATGACAATGGAACGTTCTTTAACCCATATTTTATATTTATTTTATATATTTTTTTATTTTATTTTATTTATTTATACAGGGACAATGTACAAAATGAAATATTGTTTGTCACTAAAGTCATTTGAAATGAAAGGCGTCACTTTACTTGCATTACTTGGTTTCTTTGTATATAAAATCCCTTGTGTTACTGTAATTTATTGCAGACTCAAGTTGGTTTTTGACATTTTATTTCTCTCTGTTCTGTAGAGATGGCCGGCGCATGCATTGGCGTGTTCTTGTTGGCTGTGTTGTACGAGGGCCTAAAGATCGGCCGGGAGGTCCTGTTGAGAAGGAATCAGGTGAACGTGCGCTACAACTCCATGCCCGTACCAGGATCTGATGGCACCGTACTCATGGAGACACACAAAACAGTCGGGTCAGTCAATGGAATAATGTGTGCTACTCAGTTTGCTTACTTATTTATTTTTTACTCTATGGGGTAATACTTGAGCCAATGAAAAATAACTAGAGGAAAAACTACCCAAAATTAAAACCTGAAGACTTGGATCTGTTAAACCGTCTTTTCACTGCACACGACATTTGGACACAGCTTTCGGAAAATGCCCCCTTGTGGCAGTCTTGACTTTCGGTATGACTTTCGGTCTGTAGCTTGTCATGTGCCGTGGAAAGTATTCTGATTTTGTAAGCCCATTTTCAGCTACAAGCGGGATAAAATCAGGCATTTGTAAATAATTATGGAATAATGGTCACAATTATAAGACAAACTTATTAAAAATATAAAAATAAATTCCCATTTTAATTTAACAAAGCCCAACAAACTAGGTAATATTTGACAAAATAGGTAATTTTGATAAAAGCCAGAAATATTTAGTTGAAATTATGACGTACAGTTGAAGTCAGAATTATTAGCCCCCTTGTTTATTTTTTTTCCCCAATTTCTGTTGAACGGAGAGAGGATTTTTTTCAACACATTTCTAAACATAATAGTTTTAATAACTCATTTCTAATAACTGATTTATTTTATCGTTGCAATGTTTTGCCACTTTGACAGTACAAAATATTTTAATAGTTATTTTTCAAGACACTTATAGTGACGTTTAAAGGTTTAACTAGGTTAATTAGGTTAACTAGGCAGGTTAGGGTAATTAGGCAAGTTATTGTATAATGATGGTTTGTTCTGTAGACTAAAACAGAACAAAAATATAGCTTAAAGGGGCTAATAATTAAAGACCTTTTAAAAGTACTCGAGTAGTGATTATTACGCTGTAAAAAGTTGATGTGTCAATTTGTGCATGTGTTTGTGAAAATGTGGTGCATTTAGTGATTGTTTAAGGTCATTCTGTGATTTCAGTCATCATACGGTAGACATCCACTATCTTTTTATCAGTGACATGAAGTCTAAACAGTTTCTCTGTCATTGTGTAACGATTTTCTGTCTTGAGGTTGTTCTTTATAATGACATTTTCTATGTGCGATTTTGATTGGATGACAATCACAGAATTTATTGTTCCATTTCTAGTACTCTACTTCTACTTCTCTACTAGCCAATCACCATAGATAAGAAAAACAATAAAGTAGTGACTGCAAGTTGAAGGATACAACACTAAAAATGACCTCAAGGGAAAGTAAAAGTACACTTTTAAAAGTACACAATTACAGTAGTTTAAATATTTGTAATTTGGTATTTTACACCACAGCACTTAAAATTATATGAAAATTAGGGGATAGGTCAAACTTATGACAGTCAATAATATTAGATTAGTATTATATTATTATTATAGTAAAAAGTTATGATAGTCAGAATACTGTTATAAAAATAAAAAACTTAAAGTTATGAGAAATGTCAGTGACAATTTAGACAATATTATGCTTTTAAAGTTGAAGTTATGAAAAAACTGACAACAAATGTTGACTTTTATGCCAGAATTATGCAAAATATAATATAAATATAAATTTATATAATATATATAATATATTATAAAATATAAATAATATATAATATAAATTTGAGACAACATAAAATGTTAACTTTTCATTTGTCATGATTTACCAAAGCGGATGGAAAAGGGCTTAGCAGGTTTTCTTATTTTTATGGTTGCCAAATAATACATCTAAAAAAAAATGTATGCATGACAATAAAAAGGTATGTTTAAAAATTGAATAACTTCATTTATATCATAGGTCTCAAACTCAATTTCTGGAGAGCCGCAGCTCTGCACAGTTTTGCTCCAACCCTGATCCAACACAGCTGATCCAACTAATGAAGATGTTCATGACTCTTTTGAACACCTCAGTTATTTGGATCAGCTGTGTTTGATTAGTGTTGGAGCAAAACCGTGCAGAGCCAAAAATTGAGTTTGAGACACACACACACATATATATATATATATATATATATATATATATATATATATATAAATTACAGATCATATGTGAACAATTTATATTATTTGTGTAAATGCACAAGCATAATTACTACGTTCTCCCATCTTCAGTGTAGTGCTCTTTAGATTAGTTTGAAAACCCATTGCATCCCTGATCTGTTTTGAAATCATTTTCTTTCATCACTGCTGTTAGACTGATGTCATTATGACTGATGATGTCAGTAAAAACAGGCTGACGTGGATCAGCCTTAAGCTTTCACACACTGATTTAATCACCCTGTGTACACAGTCATTCCCACACAGAGGGTAAACATGTGTCTCCTGGGATTTCTTCACACTGATAACATGGTGACTGTTGTCCTGTAACAATATGAACACCTAATTCTGTTCTCTCTTCCAGCCAGCGAATGCTTAGTATGGCCCACTTCTTACAGACGCTTCTTCACATCATCCAAGTGGTGGTCAGTTACTTCCTCATGCTGGTGTTCATGACGTACAACGGTTACCTGTGCATCGCGGTGGCGGCGGGAGCAGGCCTCGGCTATTTTCTGTTCAGCTGGAAGAAGGCAGTAGTGGTGGATATTACAGAACACTGTCATTAACCTCTCGTGTATAACCTCAAAAAGAAAAAAATTGCCCACTGTACAATCCCAGCATGCAACACAACAAGTGTAAAGCACCATATGATTTCATTCATCTTGGTAAATATTGGCCAAGTAGCATTTTAAAGATTTATTTTGATTTGTTTACACAAATTAGCACCATATCTCATTTCCTGACAGCTCTGTTTTGGTTATTTAATTTTGGAAAATATGAGTGAGGAAGTTTTGTTTAATGTTAATGGTGTAGTTGTGTATATTAAGCAAAGCTAAAAAAGAACTTTACATTGCTTAGCGGCACAAATTAATATGAAACATTTGTAAACATTTTTTACCTCTTGCGACCAATCATGACAAATCAGTGTGGAATTTCACCAAATTTTTGCAGCCAAACTCGAGTCATTTTAATAGGAATCCGCATAACCGGTAATAAGGTTTCCAAATTAACTGATTCGAAGATAACTAATCTTAAAATCGTCATAATTTAAATATCATTTATTACCATTTACTAAATTTTCCGGCCATTGTCAATTTTGCACAAATACAAAAGATTTCTCTATTTCATTATCGCAACGATTTACGAGGCTTCCAAATTTACTGATAACTAAATTATCATGACATTCGTAAAAATTAAAAAGCTTAAATTTGAAAAAAGACATCAGATTTATCACTATTCATTGAATTTTTACTGACAAACTCTAGCCGTTTTGACTCTAGTAGTCGTTTGCACAAATGCAAAAGGTTTCTCTACTTATTTATTGCAAAGATTTACAAGGTTTCCAAATTAACTGGTACCTTACATCACATTTTTACATTTGTGAAAATTAAAAAGCTCAAATTTGAAAAAGGCGTCACATTTATCAACATTCATAACTTTTACAGACAAACTTTAGACATTTTAATGTACGCAATCATTTTTGCACAAATGCAAAACAGTTTGTAACTGTTTCCAAGTTTCAAAAAAAGTAGATTGGATTCCAGTTCCTTTTGGAACTCACTAAATATGATACAACTTACAGCATTTTTGACCTCTTGCGACCAGTCATGAAGAAAAACACTCAAAATTTCACCAAATTTTTGCAACCAAACTCTAGTCATTTTAATAGGAATCCACGCAACCGCTAATATCGCAAGTGCACTATTATTGCACCAGTTGACAAGGTTCTCCAAATTAACTGATTAGATGGTAATTGGATTTGCGTGAAATTCCAACTCATTTATTACTATTCACCAAATTTTCACACCATCATCAGTTTTGCACAAATGTGAAAGATTTCTCTACACATTTATCACAAAGATTTACGAAGGTTTCCAATTTTCACTGACAAACCTGTTTTAATGTAGGCGATCAGCATTTTGTGCAAATGTGAAAGATTTTCCCACACCTTTCTGTAACAGTTTCCAAAATGCAAAAGAAAGTAGAATATTATTCCCATAAACTTTCCCTGTCTTAAAAATTTCAATCCAATACATGTGAAAGATTTTTACTAAATTTTCGCAGACAAACTAATGGGAATCCACAAAATTTCGTAAAGTACTAATGACTTCCCTTAATATTTATCGCAACGGTTTACAAAGTTTCCTCGCAAACTATTAAGTTTATTGGAGTCATGTTAAATTCCCAATTTTGAAAATTTACAAATTTGCAAATATTGGGAAGAGCGAATTTTCAAAGGTGAAATTTTACAATCTTTTGCAATCAATTTTGGGCAAATACGGTTACGTTTTTTGTTACATTTTCCTGTTGCAAATTGGCCAATAGAAAGTAGACTGAATTCTTGTAACTTTCCCAGTCTTAAAAATTTTCAGTCTAATTAATTTAAGAAAGATTTCACTTAATTTTCGCAGACAAATTCCTTTTCATCGGAATCCAGACACTTTTGTAAAATTCTAATGATTTCCCTTAACATTTATTGTGACAATTTACAAGTAAAGTTTATTGAACACCTGTGTAATTCCCAATTTTAAAAATTTAATTGCAAATATTAAAAACAGTGACTTCACTGAATTTGCAATTACAAACTCTAGTTATATTAATGTTCACAATCACCAATTTTGAGCGAATGCGCTTACGTTTTTGTAAAATGTTCAAGTTGCACATGGGCAGATAGAACATAGATTGGATTTCTTTAACTTTCCCAGTCTTGAAAATTTAAATCCAATACATTTTTGACATATTTACATTGCTAACTGAATTTTTTGCGAACATTTTAATTTTTTCGTAACTCTAATTTTTATGAATTTGTCTGGCAATTTGGTAAAAAGAACAAACAAGCTGCGCATCCTTCATCTCTACACATCAGCCTGCACAATTTAAAACATTAAGATCATAACCGTCACCTTATCAGTCTACCTCCAGATGGTACCGAGTCCCGAGTGACCCTGTTCACTATAAACACATCTGTTCTACACATCTCATGGATTATTATGTTTATGAAGGTGCTTTTGGGTGCAACAGAGCCTTACTAAACCCCTTTGCCTTAAACAAGGGTACTGACACCCAGGAGGCCGACTCTGTAAACTCTAAAAGCCAAACTGGATCTGCTGGACCCAGTAAACAAGCACTAGCGGCGGTGGGAAGGTGTTTAATACTTTTTTTTTTTTTTTTTGAGGTTGTTATGGCCAAGTGTTTCAAATCAGTGAAACGACAGTTAATAATCAGTGACCATTGTTTAGACTTAAACACTGGACTGAATGATGTTTGCACAAGAAAGAGAGGTTTTGGGACTCTGTGTTTGCAGAGTTTGAAGTCGAACTTTGCTCCCTTTGGAGTGATTTTAAATAAATATTGGGGGGGAGATTGGAGAAAAATAAATTATATCTGATGCCAGTGTCACCGATTTCTTTTTATAATTTATATTTGTAACACTCTAGTATGACTGTGTGTGATATCAATGTGTTCTGGCAATCTTTATGTAGATCCTTTTACGTTATGACATCTTTTAAATGACAAAATGTGGCGCGTTTGCGATGTCGGGTAAATCATGAGCCCTTTGGAACATTAAGGTCATCACTCTGATTGTTACTGGGTAGCAGAATGTGAATTTTATGTTCAATATATGCCCCTTTGTTTGGGTGCGCCTTTTACATTCAGGACCCAATTAAAGTGCCCAAAGAGTGTCTGAATTGCTTGTGAAAACAAAAGCCGAGGCTTTCTTACGGAGAAAATCACATATTTTAAACCAGTAAACATGTGGGTTTTAGTAGAAAGCCTATTTAAAATACCTTTCCTTTATATTTTAGTTACAAGCAGAACAAAGAAATGTGTGTAATCTCAGAGGTAAATATTCACATCATGTTGTTTTTGTAGCAGGTGCCACTCTGTAGAACTGTATTTGAGGATCGGTTCTCCGTTACGAGGCTTATTCGTACTGCAGATTGCTTTCGATATCAGAAGATGTTTGTGCTGTTTAATGTGTAGGGAAAAAACTGCTAGCCCTTGCGTGGAAGGACTGAACCTCATGTCCAGTGTTGTGGCCGTGTTAACATTTCTTAGTCTGTTTACAGTTCACCGTCTGTAATGTCCGACATGTAAACCGTACTGTAATCGTTAAAGAAAATGATGAATAAATGTTATGATTTCAGCGATAGTTGTTGGGATTTCATTTATAAACTAAATTGTTTTTGATGCTTGACGTTTTTAAATGTTTCTTTTTTCTCTGGAATATGTATATCGCAGTTGCCTCTTTAAACTATTGCTGTTGCTTTGGAAAAAAACATAAATGCAGTGCAAAAAGATGCCGTGCTTAAAGACTCCAAAAGCATTCACTGCATCATAAACATTCATTAGAAAGAACTTCAAAAGCACAATGTTATGAACACAATATCTTTTGTATATTTGTTTTTTAGATTGAGAATATTTGCAGAATCTGTGGACATTTTTTGCTAATTCTGCAGAGAATTTTGTAAAAAATCTGCAGATTTATGCAGAATTATTTTGGGAGTATCGTAACTAAATATGACATAAATAATAGCTTTTTAAATTTTATTGAATGTTTACAATGCAAATCCATCTAGATCCAATTTATTTGGTAAACAAAGCAAGTTGTATAATATATCATATAATATATCTACTGAAAGACAGAAAATAATCCAGTTTCCCCCACAAGTCCAAAGACATGCGCTTTAGGTGAATTGGGTAAGCTAAATTGTCCGTAGTGTATGTGTGTGAATGAGTGTATGGATGTTTCTCAGTGATGGGTTAACTGAATAAATATAAATTTAAGCACGTTTACACAAGCAAATAAGTAAATAGATTTCTGCGCATGCAGATTTTGTGTTGGCTAGCTATAAGTAATATCATAGAACAAATAATTTCCTGAATATCAACACGTAAATTACAACTATGTTCTACAGACGAAGCGGTGTTAAGTTGACAAATATTAGTAGATTTTTTTTGTGTTGTGCCAAAGAAAAGGGTTTCAAACAGAGCAATTCTTTCTGTCTTTTTGTGTGTGTGTCTTTCTGAATGAATCTGTTTTCAACTCAATGACTAGGCCCACACGAAATCTGCACGCGCAGAAATCCACAGATTTCCACAGAATATTTAGCCTATCATTGAGTCTATGTGTTTACTTGTGTAAATCGGTGTAGATTTATATTTATTCAGTTTTTAAAAGAATTTCATTATTATTATTGTGATATAATAATAGTAATAATAAAATGTTCATTTGATTCATTTACAATACAGTTTGTAAAGTAATATTTTCTGTCCTTTAGTAGACATATTATATGACAGACTTGCTTTGTTTATCAAATAAGTGGATCTACATGTATTTGCATTGTAAACATTAAATAAATGTAAAATGTTTTATTTCATTTAATATATAAAGTTTTTAGTTACGATACTCCTAAAAAAATTCCGGATAAATTTACAGATTTTTAACAAAAGTATCCGCAGGAATAGCAAAACATTTCCACAAATTCTGTCTGGCCCTATCAATGACTTAGTAATGCATTCATTAAAAGAGCTACTTGTTTTGTTTCTAAATGAATCAGCTGTTTTGAAAGAATCATTTAAATGAATGATTCAGTGAAAGCATCAAGGCAGGAAATTATCCACTGTCACTTTTAGGGTTTGTTTACATAGACATCCGATCAGAGAAAATGCAAAAAACATCTGATTTGTGAAAAACGATTACATTTGGCCACATAAATGTCTCCAAAAGTTATGTTGACTAAAAGGTCAGATGTACATCATTCTTCCCAGATAAATATGCAGGGCTCAAAATTAACCTTTTGCTTGGTTTGCATCAAAAATGTAGTCGTGCCCACCATTTACTCTTACTACAAGTTTTATATTAACAGATTTATTGCATTTGGAATCACTACTCATCAGAACTAAAAAATATGCATGCACCCACCGGCACTGCATGAATGAAACATAGTTACGATGATAGTAGGGATGATGTGATGATTTACAGGTGGTGTCTAATATTGCGCAGATGATATTGATGCATAACTTATTATTTGCATCCATCATCTTAATAGCTGGTCTTTTAATGAGCTGCAATATTAGTTTAATCTTAGTAAAAGCACACCCTTTTACTATTGTGTATGTGGTGTTACAATTTACATATAGCTGCCACTTGCATGGCTGACAGCATCCTGACAATTAAACGAAGTATCAAACGGAACCCCTCATGCATAAAATGTGTAGATGTGGTAAACACTTTTACCTGCTAACTCCGTCCCACAGGCTTTAAAGAGAATGGCTTTTAGTTATTTTTATAGCGGATTTTAACCCACTAGAAGAGTGTTTTATACACTCTTGAATAAGTGTTTATGGTGTATTAACATTCACCACATGATCACTAATCAGACGTGCCATTACTGGTAACTTTAGGTGGTTTCTAAAATAAAATCTGTCAGTGTTTTCATTCTCTTATCTCCAGTGCTTTTTATTTTTTATTTCAGTGTTGTGTTATACCCAGTGTTGGGGAAAGTTACTTTTAAAAGTAATGCATAACAATAGTTACTCCCCCAAAAAAGTAAGTAGTTGAGCAAGTATGGCAAGTAATGTATTATGTCATATAGCCTGTACATACATTCGGTACGACCTCCACGGTTCAATACGTGCTTGTGAATTGCGGTTTTCACGGTTTTGCGTTTAAATAATTTGTGTGCGTTTTATATCTCCCCGAATTGACTGTGTGTGCCTGTAAGTCCATGAGCTGAGATGAGGAAACTCCTCCTCGCGAGTATATATACAATCACTATGTCTTAAAGTTAGGGGTTCTTGACCATCATTCCACACTTTAACATGGCGAGCAGCGGTAAAGTGAGGCTGAGGCAACAGTACAAGGAAGCGCCGGCGAAGAGAAGCAACAGTACGAGGAAGCGCAGGCGTCTTACAAATCTGCGGTGTGAGGACATTTCGGTTTTCCCGATAAGTATAATGCCAATAAAAGAAAAAACGGTGACAAAAAATAACTGTGAAAGCATTGTTTTACACGTATAACCATGACTGCACATCTGCTGCACCATCACCCAGCAATATCACTGTATGAAGGCAGGATAGCAGAGAAGGTAATAAAGTCCTCCAAATAGCAACAGTCCCTCGCTGAATCTTTCAAGCCAACATACCCAACTGGTTCCGAGAGACGCATATAAATAACAAAGGCAGTGCGGGTGTTTATTGCTAAAGATTTGTAGTCGTTTATGGTGATGGGAGATGTGGGCTTTTGTCATCATATAAAAGCACTCGATCCATGTTACAGATTACAGTCTCGCATTTTTCAGCATCGAGATAATTAAGATGGTTTATTTATGTTTACTTAAGTACAAATATGTTTATTTGAAATGGCCAATTTATCTTTATTACTTCCCATGTATGTTTATTTTCAAAGTGTAGGATTTTATGTGTTCCCCAGTTTGTACATGGGCTACCAGCAGCTGTCAGATTTCAGTGTTCATTTTTTTATTCAATACACCAGGAACTACTGTACTTTTTTTGGCTTTTAAGTAAAACAAAATGAGTTTTGCAAAAAATCTTTTTTATTTTTTTCTCCTTTACCTCTTACTGTTCCTATTGCCTGTAGAATAAAAAAACGTGTTAAGCCATGAGAACCAAACCGAACCGAAAACAGTGTTAAAAAACCGAGGTATGTATTGAACCGTGGGCTAACTGTATTGTTGCATCCCTAATATATATATATATATATATATATATATATATATATATATATATTAGTAGTATAATCTGTATTAGGGATGCAACGATTAGCTGGTTTCACTATTAACCGGGATTTAATTAGTCACGTATGGGCTTCTCAACACTGCATTTCTGCACGGAACAAGACTGCAGCAACTTGTTATGGCAACTGTGCACTTGTTTGTACATTAAGGCTAATAAGCAGTGCACTCTACTCACTATGACTGGGGCTATTAACTAAGGCAAGCTCGTCCAAGTTAGTTTTTTTCAATGGAGGGACGCGCACGCAACACAACACACTCGTGCTTTTCAGGTGCACCTAGTTGAGATGACAGGGGGCTTTTGTGACCGTGGGAATTGCAAACGGCTAACGGTTTAAGGAAGAAGCACTGGAAAGGACACAGATTGGCAAACCCACTTAAAGTTACAAATAATGGCGTTGTGGAGAGCAATCATGTGGCGAATCCCCAGCTGGGATCAACTGAATGTTTTTAAAGACAGTGGTGAAAGACTCAAGCCTGTTTCACACCGCAGGCATGACCAGAGAGTGTTTTTTTTCGCATCCATGTTAACAGATTAGAGCTTTCATACTGCATGCAGAAGCAGTGCGTCAACACGAGGCATGAGCATCATGCAAGCAGTCGTGGTTTCGCCGCTGGGTCTATTTTACCGGTGCATTGATAATGACCAAAAACACATTGAATGAGCAGTTTTACCAAATAATGCATCAATAATATCCACTGAATTTTTTATATGCACTTAAATAAAATTAAACGATTAAACCAGCAACAAATATTTAGTTGGGCACAATATATAAAACAAAATTTAAAACCGTTTTAAACTATTTATAAACTAATGGGGTTTTGGGATCAATGAATGCAAATAATCATGATAAACGTGATTATTTCTAATACTATAATCGTACAACCAAAATTTATAATCGTTGCGCCCTAATCGGTATTATCAAAAATATAATTCTGCCAATATCACATTTACACACCATTTCCACATCCAACTAGAAAGGCTTTATTTATTTCAATAGAAAAATAGTCATTTGAAATCAGTTATCACAAACACCGTTAACCAAAGCCATAATTTTATGTCCATTTCTAATCTGGCAAGATTGATGCAGAATATATTCTGTGTGCACGTACGTGTCTGTGTTACAGATTCTCAAGACCTTATAGTCCATTGTTCAGGATTGGCACTTGTCAAAACTGAAGGTTTCCGAAGAGCGATGGTAACGTGTTAGGCTTGGGGTGGGGTTTGTATCCAATTCTCTCGTGAATCATCTGCTCTCTGGTTTTCCCATCAGCAGTGCCACCTGCCGCTCCGCTCATCTCACTGGATGTGGCGACACCGACGACATCCACCTCATCCCTCTGTTTCTTCCGACTCTTAACACATGTGGGGAAAGTAACATGAGATTATAGAAAGCTTCTTACTTTCTGTAAGATTTGCTTACATGCTTGCTTTTAAATGAGAAAAAGAATGATGAAGAAATCACACTATTACTGACTGATTTGCAGTGGTGGACTAAGAATTTTTGCTTTATTTTAATTAAGTAGGGGAGAGCAGGGACTAAAGTATCATTTTCATAACCTAATAATATCATTATCATAACTTAATCATAATTGATAATGTTTTTAGCAGAAATATATTTTCGCTGTGGTTACTAACACATAACTGTAGTCTATCAAAATCAGCTGTAGAACAACTCCAATACAACTTTACTTTTGATGCTACAAAAAAGCTGGTTGATGCAACATTTATGTTGATATTGGACTACGCTGATGTTATCTATATGTATGCTTCGTCTTCTAGTCTGCATGCACTGGACACTGTTTACCATGCTGCACTAAGATTTATAACTAATTTTACTGCTTTGTCCATTTGTAGGCTCAAGCACTAGCGTATCTCTGTTTACATTTCTATATTGGGTTTACTCCCATCAAATTTATAGAATTACATTCGGGAAAATCCTGTCCTCGGACGAAGCAGTCGCACCAGACCTAGTGCTGTCGCCTCACAGCAAGAAGGTCGCTGGTTCGAACCATGGTTCAGTTGGCGTTTCTGTGTGGAGTTTGCATGTTCTCCCTGCATTCGCGTGGGTTCCCTCCGGGTGCTCCGGTTTCCCCCACAGTCCAAAGACATGCAGTACAGATAAATTGGGTTGTGTTTAGGGGTAGGGGGATAGAATCTACTGTTTGTACAGTAGAACCATCATTAAGGGGTCTATGAGAGTCCCCACTGGGATGAAGGAACATGTCTTTATGTGTGTACAGTAAATTGAAGCAACTATTTATGACACATGTTTAAGACACGATGACAAGTCCAAAATTTTACCTCCAGCTCTTTCTTGACACTTTCAAACTCCTCCGTGTCGTCCAGCTTGAGCTCGAGGCGCGTTGGTTTCCTCCTCAGCATCTTCACATCACCGGCTTCTCGTTGCCTGGAAACACGTTACACGCGCTGCTTAAGTTAATTTACACACTTATTAACGTTAACGTTACATATATAATGTATGTTCATTAGAAATCGATGGGTTAACCTAGTTGAGTTGTGGTAGTTCTATTCAACTCTTCATATATATTTTGACTCTGAGAAAGCTCAAATGCTATGTTTTAAGGAACCTAACGTTGCAAAAGCCCATGATTGCAGTATTATATCTGCATACACAGTACACTTTACTTGAACGTTTACCGTCGTGTTGTGTATTTCGTAATTTCAAGAAATTCAGCGACGCCTGCTTCAACACCATAACGTTATTGTTTAGCAGCTACATGCTAATTAGCCTAGTAGCTCTAAATTCTGGGTCTTAAACAGTGACAAACGTCAGGATAATGAACCGTGAAGATCGTTTATTTTAGTAAGCTTGGCAAACTATTGACAAACAATTCTAAACTGAAAGAAGATGACTATTTCAGCTCACATCACTTACCGTAATCATTCACGCTTTAGACCGTAGAAAGAGCAGAAGGAATCATGGGAAATGTAGTTTAAGCGTGAAGGGAGAAAAAAGGGATAAACGTGTGTGTTTTTTCTGTTTTTATATTTTTTCAAGTTTTAAATTGATAATCGCATTAGTTGAATTATTCTTTCACTGTCTATTTAAGGGCATAGACGGTTGAAATGTTCATTAACCTTAGTTTTTTTCTTCAAGTTTTTGATCGATTTATTTAGTTAAACCTTTAAAACTAAATGTACAAAACTTGTTGTTTTAGAACGGTCCGTGTACGTTTTGTTCATTTGTTTTCCATTTTCAAACGGAATAAAGGAAATGGAGAAAACGGCCGTTTTTCCTTTTGCTCACGAGAAAACGAAAAAACGAGATTTTGGCTGGATTTTCGTTTTTTGGTTTAGGGTAGGAAAACGGATAAACGACTTTAAAATTCATTTTACACATGTAGGCGGTGCTGAAACGCCCACTTTCCTCTAATTGGTCAACCAAATCTGCGCTCGTGACGTCACCCTCAAAATAAAAGCCTTACACGCAGGCTTTTAATTATTATTATTTAATTATATATTAACTAAGTTTACATATTCTATCATTTGAACCACACACAGTTAGCAGGCTTACATTCATTGCGTATGTATAAATTAAATAAAAACGTAAAGCAGTATTCTTAGACATTTGTCATTAAAATAAGGTCATAGTTCACTGCCAAGCTTCTTGCTGCTGTGCACCTGATGCAGAGCAAAGATAGCCATTTCCGAGGAGCACCTGGTTTACATGATTGTTTCATAACAATCTTTATAATAATATAATAGGGCTTTATAATAATAATAATTATTATTATTATTAATATCAGTTACTAGTGTTTTTATTGTTTGGTGTGTTTTTTTTCTTTTTAATAGTTGTTAGCAGAACCAGAATAAGAACACTTTGGGCCCTGCTATAAAAACAAAGGGTACCATTTGTTTTCATTTACTTCTTCCTATTTTAATTATATATTGTAATTATTTTTTTGATAATTAATACTATTTTATTGCAACGCCAAAGTAGGCCTGTCTTATTATTTTTTTCTATTATTAAATTTGCTGTTATTGTAGGCTAGATGGCAGGCTTTAAATATTTTAAATAACATTTACTCATAACCTTACTAATTCGAGAGCCGAACCTAAAAAAGTTTAAGTGCAATAAGCCTGTACAATAAAGGGAGCCGCAATGCAAATTTCTAGCGCATTCTTTCACTCAACAATTATTGCTGGAATAATGAAATGAATTTTAAATTAACTAATTAAACACATTATAGTTGATAAAAAAAATTGTGTCTAGTAGTTCCGACAAACAGATGAGCTCCCCACCCAGCAATAGTTCGTCGAATAGACGTCGAAAAGACGACATTGTCAGACGTCCAAACAACGTGGAAAACAGGTGGGAAAGTGAAAGACGAAACTACGTCTTTTTAACGTCGTCGAAAAGACGTAATTGTAAGGCGTCCAAACAACGTGGAAAACAGGTGGAAAAGTGAAACGTGAAAAGACGTCTTTTTCATGTCGTCCAAAAGACGTAATTGTAAGACGTCCAAACAACGAAAAATACGTCAATTTTAAGTCGAAATTTGGTTGTGAGAAATACCTTTATAAACGTTTTAGAAAATTCACATGATTCAGAAATTCAACATTTTGTTTAAAAAATATTATTTATTAGCCTAATATTTGCAGACAAAAGTAATGACAAAACATGTATTAGTCAATTTAACATTAACAACAACAAAAGCATCAGATAGTTTTTCCGCTCTGCGTCTGCCACCGCCAGACCGTACAGGTGATCTCTCACGGCCCTGTAAATTCCGTGGCTGTTGTGTCGCAGTTTGGCTGCACCTGCTATAACAAAGAAAAACTCTGTTTTAGTTGATATAATGCACATCCTTATGTGTTATTTTAAGAAAATTAACGTGACATTCAAATAATAAATGCTATTTTGACTGCATGCTACACACGTTTTTGTTTAAGAACACATTTCAGTTATTTAACCATACTTTTTATTGTAATATTATTTATTTTTATGAAATGGACAGAGATGGCAAAAATACACACATCCTACTCAAAAAAAAGTGATACTGATGCTTAAAACAACTCTGGTAAAAGTTAAAGTAGCCTACTGACTGCACTTTTGTAGTCAAATATGGCCTCAAACACGTGATAAAAAAAGTTTCTATTACTACCTGTTTTTCACGCTGGTAACTAGACTCACATCCAGGCCCGGCGCCAGGAATCAGAACTGAGGGGGCATTTTAAATCCATAGGGGGGCACTAAACCTGGTGGCTGATTTTGGTCTCTCTAGTTCCTTTCATTTAGGCTATTTATTCACATTTATTATTACTTCACTTTGTTACAGACCTAAGGCAGTATTATACGTTTTAATAGTAATATTAATATGCACAGTGTCGCTATTACTGATTTTATTAATGATGGTATTGCAACGATACCGCTTATTAATGCAGACGGATCATGGCTTCAGTGCCAAACGAGTGCTTTAAATCATATTTTATTCTCCTTATTTATTTCAATTTTATGTCAAATAGCAGGCATATGAATGTTTAAAGTTTTAGGTAAAGACGTCAAATTATGCCCACACATGCAAGCTGACCCACGATCAGACTATTCGTATATCCGGTAAATAAATATAGTAAAATCAGCTTAACCGAGTCATCCCGCTTTACGGAGCCTATTATCCAACCAACATCAGTGTTAGAGAAAAGCTAAATGTTACCCTAATGTCATTCAAAACAATGACTTAGTTACATTTTAAGGCATTAGTGTAGCCAGAAAAATACCTAAAAAAGATGCCTAAATTCACAGTTATTACCGTGAAAATATGTTTGGCACGGATAACAGTCAACTTAATAGGCTATAAAACTTTTTTCATCATTTTAAATGTAAAAATAAAGATTTATCTTAGGCTATCATAAGTGTATTTTTTTCGTGATATTGTCTGCTTGTCATTTGTAAACCATTATAAACCATTAGGTGACTAGGCCTACCCGTCATTTTATTTATTAATTTATAATAAATTAACATTTTTAGTTATTTAAATTTTAATAACTTGTTTTCGGGTTATTTTTATTTTAGGGCCATGAGCTACAAGTCAAAACAAATTCGATATGCTGTAATATATTTAATGTTGTTTAATTTTGTATAAGCAAATAGCAGTATAGCCTTAATTACATATTTGTAAAAGATTGTGAGAGGTTTCTCGGTTGATCCGCGGTAGTTGCACTTAAGCAATATATATATTCCATTTATATCACTGCAAACTTGACTTCGCAGGCTGGACATCTTTAAATGCAAAAGGCATTTATTATACCTAGACTGCTGCTGCATAATGGGATGTTTCTCTACACAACTGTAAAAGTGCGCTTTTTAGCAATGTCAAAATGAAAGCAAACATTCAAAGTGTTATGCGTTTTGTCAATTTTAGCTTAACTGTAATCATATTAATAATAAAACTTTAATGAATAAATTTAAATATTATTTATAGTGCAGCCTACTGTGGGACTGTGCAGTGAACTATTTATTTTTATTTAAACATTTTATTAGGCTACATCTTCCCGAACAACTAATGTGAAAATGACTGGCAGTTGAGTCTCTGCTAAAATTTATTTAACAGCAAATTTCTTCTGCGTTTCTTCCTTTTAGAGCTCAAGAGTTGTGTTTAAAGATTTAGTTGACCGAAACATGTAATTAATTAAGCTGATCGTCTCATGTCACCCACTTTTCTCCCTTGTGAGTTGAGTGCGCCTCCATCGCCGTGTGCGCGTTTTATTTTCGGGCGCACCTGACCTGACGCGGGGACCGGATCTCTGGACTATAGGACTAGCTTTAATCTCACAATTTTCATAATTTAATTGCTATGTCATATATTTTAAAATATTTAAATGTGTGTTCTAAAGGTTGGAACGACGGGAGTGTTTGTAATTAATGACAGAAAGAATTTTAAGTTTTGAGTGAACAATCCTTTATAAAAACTGGGGGGCACAAATTATTATATATAGTATACATTTATTCTATTTAAAAAATTGCATGATCTTTTTTTTTACGTGGTATTTTCCTGATCTATGCATTATAATTTTATCTATAAATGGCCTGCAATCCGATCAATAAAAAAGAGTCAATCAGCCATTACAAACCTGTTGTAATCATCTAAATAGCCATTTTGCCTTCATAAAAAATGGGTGTGAGAAAAAAAAAATTTTTTTGCGTTACCTCAGCAAAGTTCCCTCACAAAGATGTTTTCCACAAACACTTAATGTTTTCACAAGCACACGATATACTCTTGAAGGCCTATTTATTATTGATTTTTTTACATTAAACGCATAATAATTAAGTGCAAAAAGAACAGCCGAACTTCGGAAAAAGTGATCACTGCGGTGCCGCGATGGTTGCTTTGTTGATTGCAAAGCATGATTGATGATTGCCCCCTCAGAAAGAATCTGTGCGCCCCCTAGTTTTCACAAAGGATTGTTTACTCAAAACTGAAAATTCTTTTTATCATAAATTACTAACACTCTAGTCATTCCAACCTTCAGAACACACAATTAGATATTTTATAATATGAAATAGAATTAAATAGAATATGAAATAATTAAATTATGAAAATTGTGATAATAAAGCTAGGCCTATGGTGCAGAGATCTAGGGTGCGGTTCCCAAAACCATCAACTTAGGTCGCAAGTTCCGTCGTTACAAGCAGTTTGTTGATTTGCCATTTCCCAAATCCATCGCTCCAACAAACATTTGCAAACTGCGTCGCAAACTTGAGCGCTCGCAACTACAGCTCTGCAGCTAGTTGAAACATAGTTCTAGATGTGTTCTATTGCCACTTATCCCCCTATGCCCTATTCATTTAGAACAATATAACATTTAAACATTGAATGATTAAAAATAAAAAAAGCATTAAGATCATCTCTCTTAGGTGTAATTTGCTTTTTACCTATTTTTACAGTTTAGTTTTAGCGATCTTCATATTTACAGTTGTGCTCCCTTTGCAGTGCACTTTAAAAACACTGATGTCATTTTGAACACAGCCTCAAGTGAAAGCTATAGGTGACCTATTATTTAAAAGCCGAATGTTACATCTCCAAAGCTTGTGAAAACAAAAAGCATGCGTGAATTCTTTTGATTTATAGTAGGTTATTTATTAAATATCTGTACTGCATATGACATGGGCCTGCCGGTTAGAACTTTCTGCTCTGGTTTACAAGTGTCAAATTGTAAAAGTAGACTTTTCCAAAAATAAATAAACAATACCCTACTTATTATTATTATTATTATTAATAATAATAATAATAACAACAACAACAACAAGAATCTCCATCATCATCATTAATATTATTATTAAATTATGTTTTTTTTTCACTTCTAATACACAAAATTAAAAATAATAGTTATTATCATCATGATCATCATTAGTATTATTATTATTATTATTAAATTATTATTTTTAAATTTCCTAAAATATAATAAATATTAAATTTCATTTTATAATAAATCGCCTAGTGATTATTTATTCATATGATTTATTTGCAGCATCTGGGGGCAACACAACTAATTTATACATGCACCTTTAACACACCTACTTGATGTTTAACTCTGAGTGGGTCGCCGGTAGATAAGATCAATAGCCATAAATCCGCAATGCATACTCTCATTTTAAAAATCACGCGACCATCATCTTACAATTTTAAATAATAAATAATCTTATTTATTATTAAAACGAGTGATTAAGCAATGCAGCGCCATTAATAAGCCTAGCCAACTACAGAGAAACAAAGCAACCATTGCGGCATCCGCAGTGATTACTTTTTCCAAAGTTCAGCTCTTCTTTTTTGCACTTGTTTATTATGCGTTTAATGTTAAAAAATCAATAATGAATAGGCCGACAAGAGTGTATTCTGTGTGTGTGCGTATGTTATCACTGAACAGAAAGTTGCTTTGTCTGTCTGGCAATATTTCGGCTTTTAATCGAATGAAAAGTTAATTTAGATGAGCCAATTTTTTTTTTAAATGCAGTAAAGTAACTTTGACATGAGGCCACACATCGAATCTGGGGTCTGATCTCATCTCGTTCTCCCTCGCTGTCATCCAGACACTTGATACAGACGCCACACAGTCACAAAACGGTACCAGCTGAGAGGTAGAACAGCTGAAGCCTTTGCGAAATCTGTCAAAATACAGCGCTGAAATTAACAGGCATATGTCTTTGAGCCAAAAAAGTCTTTAGGATATGTAAAAACGCAAGAGCCAGTGTAGAAGTTGTGTCGCCTAATAATTATATTTATTCTAATAAAATGAAAACCAAAATAAACAATTCATTGCATTTTTTGTTTGATAAAAATATACAGAAACTAAAAAAATCAAAGAGTGGCTAGTTTTTATTAATGTGTTTTAATATTAATAAAAATATGCTCAGCCTATTTAAGCTTAATTGTTACACCGCCAATAAATGTCTCACTGTCATTTAAAACATGCAATTCATAACACACCAGCAGGGCTGCGTTTCTCAAACTCACCACTGCACTATCATACGATGCATTGTTTGGGGAAAGAACTATGTAGTGAAGAATGTTTCCCAAAATTCTCTGTCGCTTACCCATCTCTTGAACCACGTTAGTTATAGCGTAAAAGGCCCATATGTTTTAAAGGGGGTAGAGAAACTACTTTTTTTAAAGAAGAACCCCATCATTTATTTGTGCAAATAATATTGTTTTACAAGCACGCATTTAAAATAAAATACTAAAAATATTAGTTTTGCCAAAAACATGCACTCGCTTTCCATATTAACTGACATATATATTAATGCCACATAGATCCAATGTTTCCTTTACTAATAATATTGAGAATGTGACATATACTAAATCAAATCACTTACAAAAGCTAACACGTATTCTATATTCTATATTCATATATTAATCATATGAATAAATGAATAATGAGGCTGTTTATTATAAAATGTATTTTTTATTATATATTAGGAAATTAAGAAAAAAATCCTAATTTAATCATAATATTAATAATACCAATGATGATCATGATGATGTCTGAAAGATAACATTATTAGCGTGAAAAACAAATTATATATACATACATATATATATATATATTAGCAATAAACTGTAGTATGGTTCAAAAACATATTTTTACTATAGTTTTTTCATGCGAGTAGCTTACAGTAGTTTTGTCAATGGCAGAAAATATATTTCAGTTCAGTAGAAAACTCTGTCCTCTTTATAATATTTCTATTTATTTCTCCTTTGTATTATAGTATCAATTAAAAAATGCAGACTTTCCTTTGTCTCACATTCATATTTTTTATTTCCTGCTCACCATCTTAATTTTATGAGTCACCAGAATCTCTTGATTACACCCAAAGTTTTGCTGATAAAAATATATATATTTTTTGCAAGCATTCACTTTAATAAGTCAATAACAGATTATTAATATCCAATTAAAGATCATTTCACCAAGCTCATACCACAGTGCTTAAAAACAGGATGCTTTTGATTTATACAACTAACAATCTCCCTAATAGAGCATGTGCTGGCTACTGACAATTTGTAAAGGTAAAAAATAATATAAGTACTGTTCAGTAACACTCTTTTTACTAATACGGTTTAAGTATAATTTAATAAGACTCTCAATTTATGAATAGTTAACTGGTAATCTGAAACCTTCAACCTTCGTTAAAATATCAATTGTTAAAAAAAGTTATATTGCTGAATAAAAAGAGTTAATATATGGACAACTACTATACATTTGTCTTCTTTTGATACACAATTTTAAACATGTGGTTAAAAACTTATCTTAATTAATGGCATAAAATTATCTTTTATATTTTTTTGGTAGGCCAGAGAAAAAGTTGGCAGGACAAGTAAAAATCTTTTCCACTGGCCACACCAGGCCAGTAGAAAAAAATCTTAAGTGTTGAGCCCTGTTGACTAATTCTCATTCTCATTCTCATTAAAATATGCATGGTTTTAAGACAATTACTTTGGATTACATATATATATATATATATTACAACCCGCAAAGTACCGCGTAAGTACAGTGAAATAACGGTGTACTTTTCTGTACATATAATTAACGTTTGCGTAGGTACACTATATGTACAGAAAAGCACACCGTTATTTCACTGTACTTACGCGGTACTTTGTGGGTTGTAAAAGAAAGCGTTACCGTCATGGGTGCTGTTGTTTTACTACAGTAATACCTTCAGGTTCTGCGCTGCAGTGGCGCCTCACAGCAAGAAGGTCGTTGGTTCGAGCCTTGGCTGGGTCAGTTGGCGTCTCTGTGTGGAGTTTGCGTGGGTTTCCTCCAGGTGCTCCGGTTTCCCCCACTGTCCAAAGATATGCGGTACAAGTTAATTGGGTAGGCTAAAATTGTCCGTAGTGAATAAGTGTGGATGTTTCCCAGAGATGGATTGAGGCTGGAAGGGCATCCGCTGCATAAAAACATGCTGGATAAGTTGGCGGTTCATTCCGCTGTGGTGACCCCAGATTAATAAAGGCACTAAGCCAAAAAGAAAAAGAATAAATGACTGAATGAATAAATGAATGAATGAATGAATACCTTCAGAGAACATAGTAGTCAGTGATCCACATAAGCAGAGTGGTGTGTAGTCAGAACTGGAACAGAAGTCTAAGCGCACACGATGATGTTTTCAATTGGAGATTCCAGCGAAACTGCCATTAAAAAGTTATATGAAAAATAACATGTTAATCAGTATGACATCTCACCTGGTATCTACTATTACAAAGTACAATTCCATTAATATATATGTCCAATCCACAGTATCTGTACCATAAACTAGCCACAATTTTGACTCCTCACTCAGTATATTAAGTTGCATGGTATTTTGTGAGAAATTCAATGATCTTGTTTGGATTGCATTTCCTTGTGAAATTATAAAAAGCTTCATGATATAATTTTTAAAAAAATGAATGCGTTTACAAACATTTTTAAAGATACTTTTATGAGTAAACTGCAGTAACGTGAATCGAAAGAGAAGGATGTAGACAAAATTATTTTTAATAAACAGGGAAAAAAAAACTTACACCAGAACATAGCACAGCAATCAGAAAAAAAAACAGACAAGCATGGTTTGTGAACAAAGGAAATCAGTAAAGAATGAAACCACAAAGAATTAACTTGACTTGACTAGCGATAGGGTAACGTTAGACAACTTACGAAATAGCAAGCTTCTCTGGCGAGGAGACCATCTATAAATTTACAAACAAAGTAACAAAACCGTGAACCGACAGCGATTCACTTTGTTAGGATTACATGTTAAAAAATGTTAGCTCGATGATAAGCACCGTTAATGCTATTTGCGAAGTGCTTATAACGTTAAGTTAGCCTTTAACGTTATAGCCGGAGCAATACTTTTTATGCTCATTCCAAGTCGATTTGATAGATCATCTTATATTTTTACACAGGTTAGAAAGCAATGAAGACATAAAATTAAGTAATTTTGCTGAAATTGCCAAATAAATAACCAAAACAGCTATTTTTTTAAATATATATATTCATTAGCTGCTGTCAATGACCTCGTCAATACAGGGCGACATAAAAACGTATAAAGTGGTTAAGTGTTCATTAAAAATTTATTATAATGTAAAACGTTACACATCTAAAGTTCAATTCAACATAAATTATAAGTAAAACGACAAATAAAACATGTGAAACGTCGAATATCGTACTTACCTTTGATTACCGTTCCGCCCGTTGCTTGTATCCGTTATTTAATTCAAATGATGAGCCCGCGCACGCACGTCACGCTGACTCGCGCAGAAGAGTTCCTGGCTGTGTTCTATTAACTCACCTTATATCTGTTATCGAGCATCTAAAAATACAGCTCCTGAGATGAAGAGCATCTGACAGTCAGGGCTAATGATGAAACTTCTGCTCAGACAATGATCTGAGGACAGCAGCGATGTTTACGAGCGAGCTAAATGCTGCATTGTGTAGCTATAGTACACAGATGGCACTGTTACTTCATATGTGCTTAAATATCTCTCTGAAATAACGCAAACACTCTCAAAGTGCGTAAAAGAGTATTAAGAGTTGAGCATGATACGACGTGAATACTTGTTAGCGTCCATAGATATATACGTTAAATGTCGCCTACCCTAATGTTGTGTTGTGGACGGAATGCGTCAACAGATTCGCCATTTTAGTACAGGGTAACGCTCCTTTGAAATGAACGCTTCTTTTAAATGAGCGCCATTTAGCGGTCACATAATCTAATGACTATTATGAACTTATTTTATAAATACATATAACTTGACATTAACTTTTTTTCTTACCAACCCCACTGGTCTTTTTCATAAGACAAAATTTTATTGTTGGAAACTGTGTTTTATATATATCTATATTTGACTTTTGCATGCTTGAGGAAGAGACGTTTTACTTGATTTGGGTCATTAAATAACTCATACTACCAATATTATGATATAGGTTGCCTATATCTGCTGTATTCACCCTAAAACCTACAGTAGGTTGACATAAAACCAATGACAACACCCATTCTTGTCTTAAGATATTTTAAGCAATTTTTTGAATAACAGTAAGTTCATGACATGTTACATATATAGTAAATCTGCTAGTTTTAAACATACAGCATAATAATAAATACAGGTATGTAACAACCATAACATTACTCTTATGTCTTAGGACAAATATGATTAACTTTTGATTACCTACACTAAATGTTGACTACTGAAGGTACATTTATAACAACTATTTATTTGTAGACTACTGTATTATCAAACCATATTGCATACAAATGCATTCAACAGACTTAAATGACAGTGTATTGCTGTAGAAGACAAATAAAACACGAGACAGGTGTTTAGGAAGAGTATAGTTTATTTTGTTTGACCTGCAAACTTATCTAAAAAGACAAACTCTCAGAAAACAAACCGAAAACATTATGATGCGCGCGCTCGTGGAGATGACCCGCGGTCGTCTTCAACTGTTGTCTTCAATAGTCCTTCTTTGCTCAACAACTCATCTGAAAAACAAAGCAAAACATTACAACATTCAGACAAAGAGCAGAGAGCATAGAATCACCAAGAGGCGATACTCTAGTGCAATTTGGGAAACAATAACGCGCTTTTTGAATAAATTAAATAAAAACAAAGCCGCTGTTTGCCATTGCGACAGCAATGATATCCAATGCACGAGCGATCGCTTTCACTTCAAAAATGGCCGAATCTGTTGCTCTTGGTCATCCTAGGCTCTTTGCATAAAGTTAAATCATAACAGTTATCATGGTTTCTATTTCAAACTATAGTAAACTAAAGTTTGAAACTATAGTTTAAAATAGAAGATGAGTGGGCCTCGCTACTCCCACCCACCATAACCCTCGCAGCGAGGTCCCACTACCGGCCCCCCGTGTTTCCCTGAGGGTCCTCGGGGGTTGTTTGTTCCCTGCCTAGGGCTCAAAGGCCGCCTCGCCCCAGGGAGTGCACGGAATGACCGGGCGCCAGGCCGTGCCAGTATTCACTGGATGTTGCTCGGCGGCACATTTCGAGCAACAAACACGTAATATTCTTCGCGATATTGCGTTTATGTACGCAAACCGCAAGGAACTACAGCACAGACGGGCCCGGGTGAAGCATCACGAAGCGGACTTCGTGAGTTTGGCGTAGCTCCACTCGTACCGTCGGTATTGAACTCACCTTGGTCAAGTACAAACAGCTACACCGGGCGAACTGACAACGCTGACTGAGAGCACACGAGCTTTATAGGAATGCATATGCAAATTTTTACAAGGCACGTCACTGTTGTCTCGTTGTCATGGCGAGCGCTGAGGAGGGCTCACCTGATTGGAGCACAGAGACTCGTGAATTTGCGTCACGGCTAGTTGCCGTCTGCTGTTGACAAAAATATCTTAAATATAATAAATATATATTTTTACATTTTTGGTGCTCTGTAATATTCTGGGATGCAGTAGAATATCGAGACAGATGAATATAATTGGATATATGCCGAGCTAGTGTTGTTCCCATACTTATAAACTTCCGGTGACCGGTTATTGTGAGTTTTTTCCATTTTATACGGTTCCTTTTACAGCATTGATGTTGTGATGCAATTAAAATACATTCCGTTAAATAAACTTTGGCATTCATTTAGTTTTTCAAGCGTAAAACGAGACAAAAGACCCTTTACTCGCACTCGCCCGTCAGAATCGGCAGACTAGCGCAGACGCTCCATTGAATACAATGAGGTAAAATAAATGCTCATATTATAAAGACATGGCGGGGGAAATGTAATTTAATGCAGTGCTTCTTGTGCAACCTGAGACCCACTTTATTTCGGATATCACTCAGCCAGAGGAGATCGCTGATTTTTTAAAGAAAACAGACCTTAAACATGCTGATTTTTCCTTTGGCAGTTTGCTGGAAGCGCTTAACCCAGGTTACTGACAAATTAAATGTCCTATTAGCATGCTTCAGCATATACCCTAAAATCCCAGGTAGTCTTTCGAAAAAGAGTACGGGTTTAACACCACCATCCTGGCCAAATTTACCCACTGGCCTCTGTCCTTCATGGCCTCCCGACCCTCCCCATATCACAATTGGCTTTATCACTCTGTCTCCTCTCTCTGTGGTGTGCGGTCTGGTGGAAAACGGCTGCTGTCGCTTCATCCAGGTGGATGCTACACTGGTGGTAGATGAGGAGATTGCTACCCAATAAATACCAAACTAGCTAAATTTAATAACAATATTTCCCCCTAATGCTAATTTTGTACTCAGTATGATGAAACACTAAAGCATTTATTTTGAGAGTGTACTTACTGTAAAGTGTTTTGGGTTGACTTTTCCAATTTCATTAAAAAAATTCTTATTTCCAAACTTCTGTATTTCCCCAAAAATTGTGTTCTTTGGTTACTCTCTGAGTGTAGATCCTTCTCATTGTAAATTTATTATTGATTTATTGTTTTTTTATAGCAAAGTTTTACTTCCATAAATGTTAATTTTCAAAGATACACCCTTACTTTTTTATTTTCAGAAAGATCTTAGAAATTTATGTGAACTCTTTAAAAGACTCTAACAATTACACTGCATGTAAAACGCTTTCTTGGTGTAAATTATTTAAACTTGATTAATTTGCTGGAATTCTATTTATGTAACCCTCTTTGTCTCTTTGTTCATATTATATATTTGTAATGTTCTTTCTTGCATTAAAAAAAGTATATGAGGAGATTCCCCCTATGTGTAAAGCGCTTTGAGTGCCAAGAAAAGCGCTATATAAATGTAAGGAACTATTATTATTTTTATTATAAAGCACTGTTCTACCATCATGATATAGCCAGACTAAAATAAAAATCACATTATTACGATTAGCTTAAACTACAGCAAACACTCCACTCACTGACAAACAGCCCCTTTCATAAAGATTTATTCCACAGGTCTGTCATAATCAGGCAAATATACATTAACATACAGAATATCGGCCTCTTCTGATGCGCCACACGTTAAATAACGCAATAGTTCAAGACACACGTTTGCTTTTTTTCTCTACTTAAAAGAACGATAACAATACATCATAACAAGAGCAACAACAACAACAATAATTCATATCATAAAGATAAGCCAAGTTGTCTTTTCTAAAATTCAATATATAGCGACTCTTTTAAGGTGCACCACATGATCGGCAGGTGACTTGTTAAAGAAACTCAACAAATGTTGCACCATGACACACACACTGAAATAGACAGAGACTTTTTGCAAACGTTGTATATGTATATAAGTGTCTCTTTAAGATCGTCTTCTGGCACTTTCTCCTGAGCGCGTCCGGCTCGGCTGTGTTTCTAAAGTTAAAGCAGTCTGTTTTTGTTGGTTTGGCACACGTCAGGGTGGAAGCGGTGGTAGAGTAAGGCTTCTCTTCTTCTCTTCATATCCAGAAGACTCTGATATCTCATCTCTCACAGCACCTCTGCAGGAAAACAGCAGAAACACATGTGAGAAGATGATTTATTGAACTATTAAAAGCTTGCCAACAACATCTATGACTGGTATTATGAAGCTGAAAATAGAGACGCTTTGCAGAATGCCAAGGCTGCTTTTTTCAGTCATTCACACTGTCCTAAAGTCAACAAACAGCAGAAATCATCAGTTTCATGCCTGGAAAATAGCTTGGAGACTCTCTTAATCATCCTTTATACATTATTTTCAAGATTTTATTTTAGGTTCAGTTTAGTTCAGTTCAGTATAATGTAAATGTCACTGCTGAAAGACGAAACACTGAAAAGCAACTCCACTGGTGCCCAGATTTGATCCATATATGATCTAACATACAGCTGAAACCAGAAGTTTACATACACTCTAAAAAAAGAAACACAACCATTTAAAAAAATGTCTGATGGTAAATGATACTAATCGTTTACTATTTTAGGTCCGTTAGGATAACCTAAATGATTTACATTTGCTAAATGCCAGAATAAAGAGAGATTTTTATTTGAGAATTTTCTATTAATTTCTAGACAGTCAAAAGTTTACACACATTTCCTTGGTATTTTTTTGCTTTGCTTTTAAACTGTTTAACTTTGGTCAAATGTTTTGGGTATCCTTCCACAAGCTTCTCACAATAGTTTGCATGAATTTTGGCTCATTCCTCCTGACAGAATTGATGTAACTGATACAGATTTGTTGGATGTCTTGCTCGCACAAGCTTTTTCAACTCTGCCGAGAGGGTGCTCGCTGCAGAGCCATTTGAGGAGAGCTGAGCTCCAGCAAGGGGAGAGCATGAGCTGTCGCTCCTCCTCCTGTAAGCTGTTTTAATGCGTACACCAACCCCACCCCTAACCCTACCCCCAGTGACATCACTCGTAGAAGAAGTGCAAAAAAGGTGGAGCTCAAGCTTAAGCTCCCCCTCTCTGGAGCTCAGCTCTCCTCAAATGGCTCTGCAGCGAGCACCACTGGACTCTGCCCAAAAATTTTCTATAGGATTGAGATCAGGGCTTTGTGATGGCCACTCCAAAACATTCACTCTGTTGTCCTTAAAGCACATTTGAACTAATTTGGCAGTATGCTTAGTGTCATAGTCTGTTTGGAAGAGCCATTTGTGGCCAGGTTTTCATTTCCTGGCTGATGTCTTGAGATGTTGCTTCAGTATTTCTACATAATGTTCTTTCTTCATGATGTCATCTATGCTGTGAAGTGGACCAGTCCCTCC